AAATCTCAAGGCAAAGGACATTTCTAATTTCCAGGATAATTGATGCTTCTGTAATTTTATTAAAATTTCAAGGGTGGATAATGTAACTATCCATACTGTATACGTGAAAAAGTGAAAAATTACCAGTAAGCTGAGAAGTCAATTTCGAAATGAAGGATTTGACACCTTCATCTTGAGTAAGCAACATCGGTAGGCCATATTTCTTCACCTTCGCGAAACTTTCTTCAGGATAAACTGCTCGATTGTACAGAATACTGAAAATTTTCGACTGAAATCAAAATCCCATATCGAAAACCCATACAAATTGCACGATGAATGAAAAATAACAAAAATTACAAATATATTCTTACCTATTTGCAGCATACCCTGAAACCCAGAAAAACCCATGTCAACCAATATAAATTAACAGAAGACCACAAAAAGCAAATGATATGTACTACTAAAAAGGAAAAGGAAAATCCAACAGCAAAAAGCTCGGGGAAAAAGAAAGGGGGCAAACCGAAGAACTCGCTGACAATGGCGGCAGACCCTCGGAGTGTGATTATATCTTTCGTCGCAGTTCTTGAAGCCATCTGACGAATATCACTGTGACTTGGAAATTTAACTTGATCGGATAAAACCTAACACGAAAAGAACAAAATAAAACAAAACAAAGGACTAGTTTTCACTGTCAAGCCCATGAATACACTCCATTTAAGGCCCCTGTAAACCCTTGAGTGGAACAGCAACAACCCCATAAAGCTAAAATTAAAAGAAAAAAACCCTAAAATTGAAGTGGGTGACAGAAACCCTAAAATCATGAACATGGGAGAAAGGGCGAAAACAAAGTCCCGGAAAAAACGGGAACATCGCGAACGACAACAATCGCAGGAAAAACGACGACAGATACAAACAAACAGACAATTGAAGGAATCAAGTACGAACATTACCTCTTTCGAAGCGATTTTTCTAGATTTTTCTCAGACAATTGGGGCTCCTCTGGCTGTGTGTGCGTCGGGTGAAATGAAAGAAAGTCGAAACTTGAATTCAAATGTTTGGGGGAAAAGTGAAAATTCAAAAATGAAATATTATCAAATCCACTTTATTTTATTTTTTTTTTTTCTTTTTCTTTTTTCGAAATCGACGTTTTCAGTTCGGTTCGAATCCGGATTGGGTGAAGTACCCGGTTTACCCCAAACATAATTTACAACGAATGTTAGCTGGATAATTGTAAGAGCATCCACATTGGTTCCATTTTTTTTCCATTCATTCAATCAAAAAGTTACACTCTCTCTCATCCACGTCATATTTCCACCAAATCTCTCTCCATTTAAACACACACCCACATTCATACCCATTCATTAAAATACATATGTGGGACCCATTATCCACTCATTCAATATAATTTTTTATATTCTATCCACAATAAAAATAAATTTTAATACTTTTAAATTAGGAAAAGTTCTTTAAAAATCCCTAAACCTATTTCTGACTTCCTCCTCAGTCCCTCTTTAAAATTTTTTCCTTCTAACTCCCTATCCCCATAAACATCTTACTTCTAACTCCCTAGATTTAAAATAAGTCAAAAATAAAATAACTTATTGCATCATCCCACTAAAACCAACCTAACATGTTATTTTATTATTTCTCTTTCTCTCTCTCCACTACTAACTTTTTTAATTTTTTATATTTCTTTCTTTCTTTCTCCATATATTTTATTATTTACTTTTTATCATCTTCACTATTTTTCTCTTCTACTACTTATTTTTCTTAATTTGTTATTAATTAGTATAAATTATTTTTGTATAAATTGTCCAAATTAAAAAAAAATTATATTTTACTAATATTTATTTCATATAAATTTATATTATACTAAATCTATAAATCTATATTTTATGTTGTTCAAATTTATCAACTAATTTTCTAAATTTAAATTATATAATTTAAATTTTATTAAAACTTATTCATTTAAAGATCTATCTTATTTTCAAGAAAATATATATCAACTAGTACGATACATGTGTACTACACTGGTACATAAATATATTAATATTTGTACAGTAGAAAAAATAAAATAATGTACTGTTATATTGTAAAATTAAGTATAATGAATATATAAAAATTATGAATAACTAACAAAGTATTAATTAATTCAAAATGGGGGTCCGTATTTTTGCACTTAATTTCTTATTTTATATAAAATCTATGATAAAACGCATTAAAATGATTATTTTATGGTGTATTACTGAATTATATTTTTTTATTTTTGTTATAAAATAATTTATGTTGTATTCATATTGTTGAAATTATTTTTTTGCTAAATATAGTTTTACCTATATTGATAGATGTAATTATTTTTTTTATATATATGCAATGTGGATGTCAAATAGAAGATCATTAAAATATGATTATTTTAACATACA